GGAGCATGCTTCATTTTACAGCTGAAACTTTTCTTTCATATCTGGTTGATGATTCAGAAGGTCATCATTATTCCAGGGTTGCTCACTTCTGCTGAAATTCTAGCTTCTGGAATACCTGTATAATTAATGATATGACACACAGGCAAAACATGTCTTACACACAATAAAGTTGCCAGTGTAGGAGAATTAAGAGATTAAGAGGAAGTTAAACTGCACTATCATTCCACAGAGAAAAGTGGTCCCATTCAGGACAGAGCCAAGTAGACTAGTAGGTGCAATATTAAGAAAGATGGGCAAAATATTAATAAATTAATATTTAATATGCTTTCAGTGTTTAATAGTTAATAATTAATATTAAGAAATTGATATTGAGAAATATTAAGTAGGATAAATATTAAGAAATATAATTGGTCTCTGGTTGGATAAACACAGAGCCTTTTGTAACCAATTAAGATCTAGTTAATTGCAAGCAAACTTTTTGATCCTTATTCTCCTTCTGATCTTGTTAAATTTCAGAATTAACAGGAAATAGTAGTTACAAGCCTAAAATACTGTTCCCCCTCTTTCCTGCCTTTTTTTCTCTTTTGCCCTCCCATGTCACCCCTCTAGCTTTGGTACAACAGGAGCAGAACACAGGAAATGGTGAGAGATCATTTGCTCCGTGTGTGTACCTCTCTACTGACAGTGCATGAGCTGTGCCAACGCTGCAGAAACATGCACCACTCTCTTATCTGCAAGGGAGATCTTCAGAGCTGCAAGGGTGCCCATGGCTCTGCACATCCTGCCATTTACAGCTGGGGCTGTCTTTTCTGTAATGGAAAAATGAACAGCTGCACAGCTCTGACAGTCAGCTCCTTCAGTCTGTAGCCACCCAGAAATGTTTCTGTTTCTTTCCTGAGGGGCTAGTAATGTGGCCAATCAGTGATCTGTCAGTTTTGGTGTTGGATGGGTTTGCTTTGGTGTGTTCAAGCACATTCCTGCATTGGTATTATGAGTCTTAAGACTTCTTCCAGGAACCTTACACTTCTTGTTACTAACACCTAGAATTGCTCAAGCACAAAAAGCTAAAAGCTAGCAGTAATGCTCTAAAATTTTCACTTTAAATTTTTTTTCACCAGGCAGCAATTTTATAGTCTGTTTCTAGTCTTAATCTTCTTCTTAGTGCTAAGCAATCAGAAATGAGAAAATTACTTTTTCCTTCTATATGAAAAATAAAATCCCTAATATTCAAAGACAATGGGAAGGGGTTGCCTCTCATATTAAAACTTAATTAGGTGTTGTAGTTTTTTGTTTGGTTAGGGAATGTACTGAATTTTACCATTACATATCTGTAAACCAATAAGGCTACTCATCTGGGGGCCAAGGAGGGAAAAACTTTCTGTATGTCTCACTTCCATGCATTATGAGCAACATTGTAGGGAGGAAGATGCAGAAATCCCCAGTGCAGACTGAAGTACAGTAAGATTGAATGTTGTATGGTCTTCCACACAGTGTGATGCATGTGATTTGAGGAACAGGTACCCTACAATCACATGCATTTTGTGTTATGAGGAAATAAAGAGGAAAAAATTAATAAATCTTACTTCTTATCAACAATAAATTCTTTTCATTTACACTCACTAAAATCTATGTAACTTAATATGGAGCAACTTCTAAAGCAAGCTCATGGTGTGGAGATACACAGACCTACAAGCAACATCTGACAGCAAGAGCACATTTCAGACTCACCATTTTAATGTGGCACGGCTGTGTACCTACGCCTAAAGAGAAAACACTGGATACCTAAACAGCTATGAAATTTCTGAGCTAAAAATATTCCAAAATCTCCAACAGTGAATATCTTTTTAGAAGGACACTTTGAAGCTGAATATTCATCTCTAGCTGAAAGCATATCTGATGGTCCAAAGCACGGTAAGTTTCTGACCTACCACTGCCCAGACTCCCACAATTTTTTTAAGCAGCTTAAAATATTGGCAAGAGCTCCCCTTACTGGTCTGCTTTCAAACTATCAGCACTTCAGTCCTGAAAATCTTTTATTTGAAACAAAGATGGGTAAAACATTATTCATATTCCACATTTTGGAAAAAAAAACCCCTAAAAACCAAACAAAACCCCAGGTCTACATCAAATTGATATCAAATATCCTATTGTTTACATTTCTGATTAGCTGCTAGGTCAAAAACCCATAGATAATGACTTAGTGTAGGAAGAAATTGTTCTTCCATCACTGTGAACCTTAACTTATTTTGAATCCTTGATTTTGTACAGCACATACAGGCCTTGCTACAGCCTAAATTACAGAACAAACATCCAATTCTAACATACAGAGTAATGCACTCATTTCACTGTAACCACCACCAGCTTCAATGGGATCATTTGTGGGATAGTCAAGGAGTCAGCGTAGAAATTTGGAACTACAAAAAAAATCTATTAAGAAAGCTTATTGCTTTCTTCAATGGCCTATTGTTTGAATTTAAGAGCAAAATACACCTCTCAGACTGTGCTGGTTTATAAGATTAAAGAGTGCTTGAAATACATATATAGATATAGACATGTATGTATACCCATTCATATATGATTTTTAGTGCCCTGTATTTGTAAATTCAGCCTAGGGGCTGACTGAACTTTTATGGAGAAGATGCCAACTAAGAAAGGTTAAATACAAGTAATTTGAATGACACCATGAAATACCATTATCTGTAATTCATAGCAAACAATCTTGTTTACTTCAGCTCACAATAAACAATCCTGTTAATGCATAAAATACATGTTCTCTGAATTGTTCTCATGCACATGAGGCAGCCCTGCAGAGCTGAGTGAGAAAAAAACTGTAAAATCTGTTGTTATGGCACATTAGGAAAAAAAAGAGGGAATCAGAGGATATGCTTTTGAATGTACCCTATAAACCTGGAAAGACTGTAAAACTGGATTTCTTAATGTATAACAGCACTTGGAGGTGGTTTAGTACAGCACATCAGCCAGCATCTAGCTCTCACCACTAAGTACCAAAAGCCAAAAATCTGAAATAAAATGATAATTAGAGGACTTGGAGGGGTTAAGTACATTAAACAAAACAAAACAAAACAAAAAAAAACCACTATTATTCAAATGGATTCAGATGCCTACTTTTTTTGGTGAAATACAGGCAGTTTGGCTACAGAATCAAATCCACTCTCTGGTAAAATGGTAGAATTTCCTAAAGCATTCTCTATTGCCTTTCTTGAGGACACACCCATTTTCTCTAGTGATTGTTGGTTATTTCCTCCTTTACCCTACTGGACAATTATTCTTCCTGGGCTAGCTGTTGTACCAGAGTGAACAGAGAGGGACTCAGGCATTAGTCACAAGTGCACCAAGTCATTACAACCCCTATCTGTACTGACCAACCAGGGTCATGCTCATTGTGCTGCCAACCCCTCTGCTAAAATAACCCCCTCTAGAATTAGCTTATCCCACAATTTATAAGACTAAATATGTGACAGCATTTAGACTTACTTGCTTTTTACACAACTTTCTTTGAAGGCCATTGATAAACAAATTTTTTTAAAAAAATCTGAGGTTTTGAACAAAAAACCAAAATGCCCAATACTATAATCTTCAATAAAAATGAAATGTTATTGCTTTATTTCACTAGGAAGCTGCACTTCCAGTTTCCATTCCTCTCTTCCCACATAACATGTTGTTTGAGTTGTTCAAATTCTCTTACCTTGCTTTAGAGATCTGTCTCATCCTTCTATCAAATACAACTTTTTAGCTTCTGCATGTGTTAACAAAAGAATTTATGAGCACGTTCAAGTTACAGTAATTACACAAGAACAACTGTTTACATCACAAAATGCTAACAAGTGACCATGCAATCTTATTTAGATCTAAGTAAAAATAAGTAGCAAGTAATAAAGGAAGTTCAAGTAAGTGTCTTTTATGTAATTGCACTACCATGGTCTTCTTCCAGTACACAAAATACTTTCAACTCAAACTGAGAGATAAAAGTGAGTAGTGAAAGCCCTTCAAGATAAATTTGGTGCTTTTACAAGCAGCAAGTCTGTCATTCAAACTCTAGTTTTGCTGCTCAAGCAGGACCTGAGAACACTAATTCTTTGATAGACACTAGTAAAAAGTGAACATATTAGTTATGGATACAAACCTTAAATTAACATACAATATTCCAAATACAGTGAGAGTTGACTTTCTCACCCTATCAACTCTTTCATCAAAGCATGGATATATTTAAACAGATCTCCTACAGCTTTTATTCTCAAATGTTTCCAGACCTTAAAAAAATGTATCTTTAACACAGTGTTTCATTCCAAGCTGTACTCACCAATAATACTTCGCACTTGAATGAAAACCAGCACAAACATTTAACATCTGTAAGTGTAAATCCTGATGATCTCAAAATGTATAAATATTTTTAACATTAGTGTCTATTCTTCTCCCATTAGGGCAAATATTTTTGTTGTTGTAGAAGCATAAAAGTTCTAGGACTACGTGCATTTAAAAACAATCAAAACCTTTCAGAGGTCCAAGTTTATTCAAATCACAGAAACCCTTGCTTGGGTTTTTTGTTTGGTTGCTTTTTAAAATCATACACATACTAAATTTCTAAAAGTTTCCTCACTGGATGTCCTTCACCATACCACCTGATTCAAGATTCTTTTTTCTCTAGGAACTACAGTGAACTCAGCTCCTTAGACTACATATGATGATACCAACTTACATCTTTACATCTTTTGTTTATTCTTCCAGCACAGAATGCTTGTGCCTTGTTAAGGTACAGGAAGGATCAAAAGTATTGACAGGTTTAGAAGTTAAAAGTCCATTAACTTGTTTGTTCAAAAAAACCAAATTGTGGGCAGAGAGTATAAGAATGCATACCCAGCTGTTTAGTTTATACAGTTTGGAACTTCTATCCCTCTTTATTGCAAAAGCTATTTATCAATTGTAAATATAAGCTAAAATACAGGGAATACAGCAGCAAAGCTGTACAGTTCACCAAGAGAAAAAGACAAAAACTGCAAGAAGTTTATTAGAGACTGAAAAGGAAAGTCACAATAGAAATGGAGCACTAGACATGCAAAAATACAGAGAAGCTTAACACGTGGAATTCCAAACCTGACTTTTCAAATGCTGTCATTTGAAGAGAGTGATGGATGATTTACCTTTCAGCAGAATCTGGATGGAAAACAAACTAGCATTCCAAAGAAAGGAAACAGACACTTCTAAATAATTTGTACTAAGCTATAATGACATGTAAAATGACTGATTATTTCTCCATTAAATGAGCACCCAATAATATTCCAAAAAATAACAATTATGAGGTCAATGTTTGATCTGTCTCTTGAGATAAATCTCAAGAAATAGGTAAGAAACCATAAACCATTTATAAATAAGATTTAAACTTCTTATCTCTTCTTATCTTAGCTGGTTCTTAATCTACATGACTGGGGAAGCACACACTTGTGAAAGAATTTGGACCCAAAGTTATTGTTCTATACAGTCAGAGAAAAGGGAAAGTGCCAGAAATGTCATTAAGTTATATTTCACAGGGCTATTTGCTCATCCACATGAGCCTGAACATACACAATTCTACAGAACTTTCTTTAGACAGTTTTTTGAGTAAAAACATCAAGTAAAACTTTCTCCTGAAGATTCCTTCTTCCTGAGGAAAAAAAAGGCAAACCAAAGAACCAATCTGAACAAAAAACAAGGATAAACCTAGCAATTAATCTGATATCTACTGGACAAGAGAAAACAAGCAGTAGTGGGAGTGTCAATAAGGAAAACTGTTCGTTATAAAAGCCTTTCTCTTTACTCTTGTTCTTTTTCTCAAAGACAAAAAGGTGCCATCTATCTAATGTAGATGAGTAGGTCTGAAAACCAAGCCACTGTCTGAGCTAACATTACAAATACAGTGTAAAAAAACCCCACACAACGAAACCATGACACTACAAAGCTTTTTTTCTATGCAGCAAAAGGTAATATGGGAAAAAGAACTAAGTTAAAAAAAAAAACCCAAAACCATACCCAAAAATCCAAATCCAGCTTTCTTGTTTGTTGGGTACAGCATGGGAGTCTGATCACATAACTTACTGTGACTATCAGCTTCAGTGAAAAAATACAATCATATCTGTAGGACTGGTCTCCCATTTCTGTTACCCCTTTAATTTATGATGATCTAGGGCAATAGATTCTGTGGTCCCAATCACCCCATGTCCCTCCTTCCCCTCCAAACTCCCACCACTTCTCCCCAAACTCAGAACAACTCAGACAGCACAGCCTTGGTAAAAGCCGGCAAGGAGGATGGGGCATCATGGTTTTTACATTTGTAACATGTTTTAACAAAAAAACCCCAACACTCCCAACCCCAAACAACACAACAAAGCACTCAGACCAACTCTCATCCTGCTGTATAAAACCAAGTTAGTGCAGTACCTGGCCATGGCTCCAGTTTAGAGATGTCCCATCAAGCACAGATCCAAGAGACATTGTTTACTTTCTATCAGTCACACCATAGTCAGATTCAGTCACACACAGGAACACGACAGGTCAGCAGGCCTCACAGAGCATTCCAACACAGAAACACTACTCTACTTTTTGGGTCAGATCATCTTGCAAGATAAAAACCTAAATGAAAACCAGAGCATGCATCAAAAATTCTCAAGAGAACTCCTCAAGTGTATAATTTTAAGTCTTTTAATAAAGATACCACATTCTTTCAAAATGAGAAACAAAATCCAATTTCAGACTATTTTGTCTATGAAAATGATGCATTTTCTATAGTAACCACTTCTATGCAGAACTTACATGCCACAGTGTTATCTATTAAAACAGGAACAACTCAAACTATTGAAATTCACTGTTCCAAAACTTGCAGTAATCTCATTTCTCTGGTTTTTCTCACTTCTGAGTAATAGGAAACGAGTTCTGGTCCATTAGCTCGCCCACTCTCTCCTGGAGGAAGTTGACCAACTCAGCTAACACAAAGACATGAGTTTCATCCAGGTCTTGTATGATGAACTTCTTTCCCAAAGCATTTGACTCATCCAAGTAGAGCAGAAACTGCTTCATTGCAGGGTCACTGTAAAGACAAACACACATCAGACCCCAACTCACAGGTACAGCTGCAAACAGAAGAAACGCCATTCAAAGACATTCCCAAAGGGTTTTGAAAAAGTGGAATTAATTTTCACAGCTTAAATATGGTTTGTTTAGTAAAAGTCGTCTCTTTCCAAGTAGTTTTGGTTCCTATACAGACAAAAATAAAATGGTAATAAAGTCTAATGAGTAGAACCAATCTCTGCTTGATTAACAGAGAAGATTCTGTTTGCTGCTGCTAAGGCAAAAACACTCAAACCAAAACTAAAACTCAAAAGTCCAACCCTTAATAAGGCAAGACTGAACTTACATTTCTGATTTCAGCAACAGCCTCACAAAAACACATTTCCTAAAAGCATAAGGATAACCAGAAGAGAGGAGCACACAGATCTCACACAAGTAGTAGAGCACAGACAAAGAATGCTCACAAAAGAATTATACATTTCTCACACTCTAACTGAACTATCACAATGTCACCTTCTAAACAAAAATTTAAATGCTTAGAAGAATACATTTTGGAAGTATGGAACTGCTTTTGTGCAGATATAAATTGCAAACATATTAAGAGATCAAGTGTACAGCAGAAATCTTAAACATCACATAATGCTATACAACAACCCCACAAATCTTGAGTGAGGCTTCCTTGAATTTTGGAGGTAGCCAGGGGCCTGAGTCTCAGTCCAGAGGTGAGATTATATGAAAACAGGTACATTGCACCTACACCAAAAGCTGACATTTACCAACTCCAAGCACATTCCTTTGGAATATGATCTACAAACAGAACCACGTTTGCCTTGCATTGAATTCAATCTAGAGCTGATTAAAAAAAACCAAAACAGGAAAGGAGAAATGAAAGATTACCTCGCCTCCCTCAAGAATCAGTAGAGAAATACTTTGTTCATAAACAACAACAGCAAGAAACTCTGTTTGCAAGCAATACAAAGAACAAGAGGGAGCATCTAACATTTTCAAGGAAAAATTGCCAGGATAACTGGATCACTTGTACTAGGATAAGTCATACCTGTCAAGCCTATAGATAACTTACATACATAGCTAAAATTTTAACTTGTGTACCTTTCAAAAAATGTTAGGGGGAGAATATTAGGGGACCACCAGACATGGTAGAATATAGCTTTGAAGCATAATTTCTCATAGTTAATGCTCATTTTAAGTATTTTACATCCTTTTCTCTACTTAATTAAAATAATCTGCAGACTGTTATATATTTTGAAAAAAAATTGGATTTTTATAATAATGTGATTGCTAACTTCTTCACCATCCTATTTTTTACCACATATTCATATGCAGTTTTCTTTTCTTAAAGAGGATAGACATAAGTGGAAAACAGTCACTTGAATTGAAAAACGGGAGTTTGGCATTAAGATTTTCTACAATTGCCTTCTCCTTCTTCCCCCAAAGGCTGCACTTTTCTCTGCTTGTTCAGTACCACCCTTCCCACAATAATTCCTTTTGTCTGGGCTCTTCAGTTACTTCCAGGTATAAAGAAACAGGGTCTTTGACACAAGGAGAGGCAGGAAAGGCTGTTACTCACCACTCAACCAGAACACCTTTCAGAACATTCACCATTTTCCCGGCTCCCTCTGCGAACGCTGAAGAGTTGGCAAGAGCAGCCCCTGCTCTGGATCACACTGTGAAAACAGAGTTCCCTCTTTAGAATTTTTAGAATTTTTTAGATGTTTAATAAAGGATAAAAGAAGGACAAATTTCCAGTGCTGGGGTGCTTTTGGCAAATGGCCAAAGAGCACAGAGGTAGCCTAAAATCAAGTTCTCAACATACGGTTACATGGCTGGGGTTACATGCATATCCATTACTTTATACATTAGTCAAACGCTCCTTTGAGATTTCGATGTTTCCCTTGCTTGGTTTTAACCTTTGACTCATCTGCAGGACATTCTGCAGATTAGGTCCATATGTTTTATTTCTTCCTGTAGTTCTATCCCATTGTGTTTCACACTTCCTGATAGCAAAGAATCGATAAATCCTTCCCAGATTGTTATGCTCTGTTTTCTGTCACTGTCACCACTTGCGGAGGCCAGTTTGCAGATGTAAGAAACAACATAATTGCTGTACATCATTCTCTGAGTTATCTACATAGAAGGATTTTAGTCTCTATTTTAACAGTTTGCTAAAGCTTACGATATAGCATATTTATCACACTACTCATATGAACTATACAGTGCAAACACAAACTGACAGGTTATAGTATACAAAAGCAGTTAAACTAAGTATAAATTGTACCATATCAAACTACTTGTGATGTAAAAAGCTAATCTATAAATGCGAAAGCCAGTATTATATTATCATCTATAACAGCGCTGGCGACCACAGGAAATCTGAAAGAACAACACGCCCCAAACACACAAATCCAAACAAACAACGCCTCGGTTAAACTCAAGGACTCTTTAGGACAACGCTACTCCCCAGAGGAGCTGCTGGTACGTCCTGCCCGTCACCTCCGCCTTGGGCAGAGAGGTCCCCGGGGGCTCCGGTCCGCCGCACATACAAGGCTGCCCTGGGATCCGCTCCCTCACCTCCGGGGAACACAGACAGTTTCTCGGGACCCGCTCCCTCACATCCGCCGCACACAGACAGTTTCCCGGGACCCACTCCCTCACCTCCGCCGCACACAGAGTCTGCCGGGATCCGCTCCCTCACACCCGCCCTCCTGCCGTACCTCTTCCCTGCCGGCGGAAGTGCCTCGCCCGCGCATGCGCAGGAGCGCCGGGCCCCCGGCAGCGCCCGCGGATTGGCCGGGGCTGCCGGCGGCGCGATGGCGTCACGCGGCGCGCGGGGCCCGCCGCAGGGAGCGGCGGCGCCGGCGGAAGGTGCGAGCTGCGGCCCGGGTGGGGGGCCCTGGGATGGCGGGCGGCGCTGGGCCGGCGGGCTGGGGCTCAGGGTAACGGTTGCGCTGTTCCTCCCCGTTGGAAAGAGGCACAGAGCCACCCCCTCCTGGCTTCTTGCCCGTTTACGTGTTGCATTGCCTAAAGTTGGGTTTGCGGTAGTGTTTTTGTCTTTTTTTTAACACTCCCCAGCTGCGCAGTCACTGGCGGGTGGGTGGGAACCGCAGCCCGGTGCGGGACGGGGCTCGGAGCTGCCTGGGCGGGCTGTGAAACGGTGCGAAATGGCTCCTTTTGCGTTCTGTTTGTACGTGCCTGAGCGTGAAAAGCCCGGCGAGAGCCGGCAGTGCGCGCTCGCAGCCCCCAGAGCAGCCGGCTGAGGCGGGGCGGCGATCCTGCCCGTTCCCCCGCTCTGGCGGGACCGCGCCGGGGCTCCCCCGCATCGGCAGGACACGGAGCTGCTAGAGAAAGCCTAGAGAAGGGCCACGAAGTCGCTGGGAGGGCTGGAGCACGTCCCTGTGAAAGCAGAGCGAGGAAGTTGGGGCAGCTCAGCCTAGAGAAGAGAAGATTGCATGGAGACCCCACGGCATCCTTGCAGTGTCTGAGGGGTCCTGCAGGGAGGTCAGAGACTGATGAAGTCCTACACTTAATCAGGAACTGTGGTGTAGGACCGGGAGTAATAGGTGCAAACGAAAAGGGGAGACATTTAGATTAGATATTATGAAAGAAATCCTTGGCTGTGTGGGTGGTGAGACACTGGAGCAGATTTCTCAGGAAGGTTGTGGATGCCCCAGTCTTGGAAGTGTTCAAGGCCAGGCTGGATAAGGCCGTGAGCAGCATGGTCTGGTGAGAGGTTCCCCTGCCCATGGCAGGGGTGTTCGGATTAGGTGATCTTTAAGATCCATTCCAGACCCTTAACATTTGATAATTTGATGCTTGCTCCTGGACCTGAACAGGAGCTCCTGGCAGCAGAGCAGCAGTGCTCGCTTTGTCCTCCTGTGTTTGCAGTGCATGTTTGAAATCTTAGCAATTGTGGCACCTGCTGTCACTGAACCACGTTTATTTCAGACTGTGGTTAGAGAGAAGAGTAAATGTGAGTGTGGTGGTGTTCACAGGGGTCCCAGGACGAGGGAAAAGACGAGAATCTCGACTCCATGTTTCAGAAGGCTCATTTATTATTTTATTATATATATTATATTAAAATGATACATTAAAACTATACTAAAAGAATAGAAGAAAGGATTTCATCAGAAGGCTAGAAAGCAATAGAAAGTAATGGAATGATAATAAAATCTTGTGACTGCTCACAGCCTTGACGCAGGTGGCTGTCATTGGTCATCAAGTAAAAACAATTTCACATGCTGGGTAAACAGTTCTCCAAATCACATTCCAAAGCAGCAAAACATGGAGAGGCTGAAGCTTCTCAGCTTCTTAGGAGAAAAGATCCTGACAAAAGTTTTTTTGTAAAATCTCTCTGTGACATGTGAGTACTGTGATTCTGGGAGTAAGGGAGCTGTCATGAGACAAGGAGTTTGGAGGCAGGAGAGGTGTCTCTAGTGGACTGATGGTCAAAGTCTTAAAAGTGTTTCATAGTGTGTTGTACTCTGTTGAAGTGAAAGGATAAACAATGGTGAAATAACAAGTCAAAAAGCAGTCTGCAGGGATTTTGACAATGCTAGGGTAATGCTTTTGTTTTTCAAAAATCTCCCAAACACAAGCAGGAGAGAAGGGAAAAATCAAAACTTTTGGGGAAATAAGAGAAGAGGGAAGACATGTTAAAGGAAGGACACAAAAAGAGTTCCCTTGTCCAGATGTTGGACACTGAGGACAAAAGTGATATAAACACTTTTCTTGGTCTGCAGAGATTACCTTAAATTCAAGAAGGTAATTGAATTTAATTAGGCTTCCATATTTCAGCATCAGGTTTACACATGTGACATTTTATCATTTTGAGTTAATTGTGATTGTGTCAAATTGAGCTTATTTGACAAGGATTTGATTTGTATTTGAGAGATACTGGTGTGTTTTTACATCCCTATAAACACATTAACTCAATATTTCAGTTAGTACAATCGCACCAATGCAGACACTAAAATTTCACTTAGAAGACAGGAGTTTCATGTTACTTCTGCACTGTATGCAAAAAGTGTTAGTTTTAATGTAGTAGCTCAGTAATTCTTGTTAGTCAAAATAAAACTTGTCAACACAATAAATGATGAACTTTTAAAAGGGCTTGGTTACTAAGTTGTATTAAAGCTCGTGTCATACTGAGTAATGTCTTGATGGAGATAGGACCATATCTGGTATTTAGGGAAGAGTGACTTAGAAGTAAGAAAGGAAACTTAGAAGCAGAGAAGTTGATTGGAGATACTTAGTCACTAAAATGAACAGTAACATAATTGATAAAAAACTGCTTTAAACTTCTCTTATAATTGAAAGTCAGCCCATTATTCAGCCCATAATTTGAGAAATTTATTGAGTTCTTTAGCCAGAGTGCTTTATATGGAGTGAAATGACACAAACATGGTTTACCTTTCCCATCATGACCTTTGCTGTAAAAAGTCAGGGAAAAAATGCTACAGGATTTCTGCTGTAATTCTCAAATCAATCATCACTTTTTTTCTTTCCCCCTCAATATGCAGAATGTCAGTGGCTGCTTACTGTGTATTTTGCTACAGAAAAATAGGAACTTCTGGTCCAACCACAAAAAAACGCCTACCCTGGTATGACATCAGTAAGTAGAGTTCATTATATATTGATCTGAAGTGTTAATAAAAAGGAATGACATGACACCATGCTTAATTAAACAATACTGAGGTTTTAAGCCCTTGAATGCTTAGTGATTAAAAGCTTCTGTTTGTTCCTGCTCTCTGCTGCTGACCTTGCTTTGCATGGTGATGTGTAAAATGACACCAGCAGATTATCTGGGAGCAGATATGAACGCTAGATGAGGGTCTTTCCCTAACTAAATGGGATCTCCTTAAACTATCTTCAATTCCACTTGTGTCTGATTTTTTTTTGTGATCTCTAGAGCCATGAAATAGTTACATTCATAAACAGTGAATAAAACTTGTTTCTATTATTTCTTTTTCCTTTTTTACTTCAAGCTCTGCTTAGTCTCCGTTTTCTTTGGTGTCTTCAGCATATAATGACAATTCTTACAGTTCTGAAATTTATTTCTGAATATTAAAGATAGGATATTTCAATTTCTGCTCTACAGGAAGCATTGCATTTTTTTTCTTTTTCAAACTTCTCTGCCAGTTATTTCTTCAACATGTAGCTGATGCCTCTTGTCTGCATGCAAAATTCTTATGGCCTCACAAAGATGGAAGCTGATAGCAGTGGTTGTGGGGCAAGTCTCCCAATTCATGCTGAGGAAAAGAAATTATTCATGATAGGTGAGATGTGTTACAGTGGGTTTGCTGCTGCTGGTAATGATAAGAGTTTCTCTGGATAGAGATCCTTATATCCAGATAATCAGACGGATTTTGTAGATACAAAGTAGCTGAAATCTGGAAGGAATAATTTTATTTAAAAGGCAAATTGTTGCAAACAGCATGTATTATCTGTTTGCTTTATAGATTAGATTCAATTGAATTATTTTTTTAAATGTATTTACTTATGGAAACGCTGCAGGACTTCTCAAAAACATACATAGTCCTGTGTGTAATAATAGACACTGAAGAAATAGCTGCAACATGTAAGAAAACATTAACTCCTTAAAATGATTTTGAGTTCCAAATCACTGCTAGTGTTACAGGCAGAGAAAGTTCACTGTTGTTTCTGATAGCTGAGCAGTGCATGCAATTGAGAGGTAGCAATATTCAAAGTAAATGGCTCTGGTAGGATACATGTTTTATCATCTCGCTTAGGAGAGCAGGAAATCTGAATCAAGTTATGTTTTCTCCAGTTGTAAATTTTGGTTAATGATTTCTTGAAAGCTAGAGAGCAATAGAATTTTTTTTAAAGCTTGTTCTTAATGATTTGTATTCTTACTGTCTGATAATCAAATGGTAACTGTGCTTATATTGAGGTGATGCACACAACTTTGTTTGACATTTGGTTTTGATTTTTTCAAGGAAAAGTTGCAAAGGTAACTGGATCACTTATACTAGGGTAAGTTGTAACCAATGAACATATATGTAACTTAAAGATATGGTTAAATTTTAATATGTATATCTTTCAAAAAATGTGATAGTATTAGGGGACATTAGACATGGTAGAATATAGTCTTGAAGCACAATTAATTTCAAGTATTTTATAGCCTTTTCTCCACTTTGCTAAATCAAGATAATCTACAGACTATTATGTATTTTGTAAAATCTCTATGGTTTGTGCCAGTGGGATTGCTATTTTTTTTATTATGTTGTTTTAGCTGATATTCATATGCAGCTTTTTTTTTTTCTTTAAAGAGGCTTTGTATTCATTACCTATCAAGTCCTGTCCTTAAATAAGTTACTGAAAATCGATACTCAAGCTCTACATCAAGAAAAACTGAAATCCTATATATATGTACGTACAGCTTCTCTAAGCCCGAGTGAATATCAAGGTAAGATGCATAATTGTTTGAGTTCCAAAAGCAGAATTCTAAGAGAGTAGAATGTTTCTGGAGGTCACCCTTATATAACAAGTAAAGTTATATTTCCTGAAATCTGTTACCAAGAAATGTCACCAAATTTATTTTAAGCTGCTGACTGGTTTGGGGTTTTTTTAAGATAGTTCTTTCTATACATACTTCTCTATATATTAAATAATTCTCTTTCTACAATGTCTATATGTGTGTGTGTGTATATTTCTTTTTCCATATCTTCACAAAATGTGAGGTGAGGGAACTGTCTTTCAGACTTCCAGTAATATAAAAATACTCTTGTAGGAATTACATACA